TGAGGCAGGAGAATGGCCGGAACCCAGGAGGCGGAGGTTGCGGTGAGCCAAGATCTGGCCATTGAACTCCAGCCGGGGAAACAAGAGCGAAACTCCGTCTCAAAAAAAAAAAAAAAAAAGCAACCTAAATCCATTTATTTACATGTATATTGCTTATGTTACCTGTACACATTACAGAGCAGAGTAAACAGAGCCCAAAGGCTAGAGAGGGAGCTCGTAAACTAGAGATGCAGTGAGACAAAGAATGAAATGCACGAGAGCAAGGTTAGGAGGGAGGAGTGACAGAAGCAGGGCTTGACTCTAGCAGAATGAGGTGGTGGACAAATCCTCTCCTCACAAGGCAACTATGAAGCTAGACAAAAATGATCCAACAAGCCAGGCGCAGTCTCACGCCTGTAATCCCGGCACTTCTGGGAGGCCGAGGTAGGCGGATCACCTGAGGTCAGGAGTTTGAGACCACCTGGCCAACGTGGCAAAGCCCCATCTCTACTAAAAATACAAAAATTAGCCGGTGTGGTGGCGGGTGCCTGTCATCCCAGCTATGTGGAAGGCTGAGGCAGGAAAACTGCTTGAACCAGGGAGGCGGAGGTTGCACTGAGCTGAGATCTCACCGCTGCGCACCAGCCTGGGCAACAGAGTGAGACTCCGTCTCAAAAAAAAAAAAAAAAATTAGACCAGGCGAAGTGGCTCAGGCCTGTAATCCCAGCACTTTGGGAGGCCGAGGTGGGTGGATCACCTGAGGTCAGGAGTTCAAGACCAGCCTGGCCATCATGGTGAAACCCCATCTTTCAAAAAATAAAAATAAATAAATAAATAAAAATAAAAATAAAAACTAGCCAGATATGGTGGTACACACCCATAGTCCTAGCTACTTGGGAGGCTGACGTGGGAGGATCACTTGAGCCCAGGGTTTGAGGCTGCAGTGGGCTCTGATTGTGCCACCACACTCTAGCCTGGGCAACAGAACAAGACCCTATCTCTCCAAAAGAGTGTATTATGAACAACTTTATGCAAATAATTAGAAAATTTAGATAAAGTAGATAATTTAAAACACGTAACTCCAAAACTGATTCAAGAATTTTACCCTGACTTTTCTTTAACTATTAAAGAAATTGAAGAAGCTGTTTAAATCTTTTTTTTTAAATCCTCCTCCTCGAAGTTGTTTAAATCTTAAGAAAAACTACAATAATATTACAACAATATAAAAAGAGAATAAACCCTGATTATATTGGACTTATCCGAGGAAGGCACGAGTGGTTTGAAAATTCTGCAAATTCATCACATTGACAGATTAAAGGTAAGGGCTGAGCACAGCAGCTCACCCCTGTAATCCCAGCACTTTGGGAGGCTGAAATGGGAGGATGGCTTGAGGCCAGGAGTTTGAGACAAGTCTGGGCATAAAGGCCCTGCCTCTACAAAAAATTAAAAAATTAGCTGGGCATGGTGGCACATGCCTGTAGTCCCAGCTACTTGGGAGGCTGAGTGAGGAGGATCGCTTGAGCCCAGGAGTTTGAGGTTACAGTGGGTGATGATCATACCATTGCACTGCAGCCTGGGTGATACAGTAAGACTCTGTTTCAAAAACAATAATTACAAAAATGTAATAACCCATACGATCATTTCAAAACAGTCAGATAAATTGAGAAAATTCTACACTCATTTATTGTAAAAATTCTAAGTAAAAAAGAAACAGAACCTGACTCAGCCTGACAAAAAGATATCTACAAACAGCCTAGGCAAACATCGTTGTTAAAAGGGAAAACTGGGCCAGGTGCAGTGGCTCACGCCTGTAATCCCAGGACTTTAGGAGGCTGAGGTGGGCAGATCACGAGGTCAGGAGCTTGAGACCATCCTGGCTAACATGATGAAACCCCATCTCTACTAAAAATACAACAATTAGCTGGGCGTGATGGCAGGCACCTGTAGTCCCAGCTACTCCGGAGGCTGAGGCAGGAGAATCACCTGAACTTGGGAGGCAGAGGCTGCAGTGAGCCAAGATCACGCCACTGCACTCCAGCCTGGTGACAGAGTGAGACTCTGAAATAAAAGGGAAAACCAGGCCAGGCACAGTGACTCACAGCTGTAATCCCAGCACTTTGGGAGGCCAAGGCAGGCAAATCACTTGAGGCCAGAAGTTTGAGACCAGCCTGGCCAACATGGTGAAATCCCGTCTCTACTAAAAATAAAAAATAAAAAAATTTCGCCAGATGTGGTGGTGCACACCTGTAGTCCCAGCTACTCTGGAGGCTGAGGCAGGATAATTTCTTGAACCCCGTAGGCAGTGGTTGCAGTGAGCTAAGACTGTGCCACTGCATTCCAGCCTAGGTGACAGAATGAGATTCTGTCTCAAAAGAAAAAAAGAGAAAACTAGATTCAAAATCAGGAACATGACAATGATGTTCACCCTCACTACTTCTATTCAATTCTTCTATTGTATGAGATCCCAATTATTATAATACATTACTAAAATGAAATTAAAAGGCGGGAGTGAAGAAAATGAAACAAAATTATTATTCACAAATGACATGTCTGTCTTCATAGAAAACTTATAAGAATCTACAAATGAAGGCCAGGCACTGTGGCTCACACCTGTAATCCCAGCACTTTGGGAGGCCGAGGTGGGTGGATCACCTGAGGTCGGGTCAGGAGTTGGAGAAGACTAGCCTGACCAACATGAAGAAACCCTGTCTCTACTAAAAATACAAAATTAGCAGGGTGTGGTGGCACATGCCTGTAATCCCAGCTACTCGGGAGGCTGAAACAGGAGAATCACTTGACCCTGGGAGGCAGAGGCTGCAGTGAGCCAAGATTGAGCCATTGCACTCCAGCCTGGGCAATGAAGAAGGAAACTCCTTTTCAAAGAAAAAAAAAAGAATCTACAAATAAATTACTAGAAATAATCAGAGTTTTTTTTGTTTTGTTTTGTTTTGAGATGGAATTTTGCTCTTGTTGCCCAGGCTGGAGTGCAATGGCGCATTCTCGGCTCACCACAACCTCCACCTCCTGGGTTCAAGTGATTCTCCTGCCTCAGCCTCCCAAGTAGCTGAGATTACAGGCATGTATCACCATGTCCAGCTAATTTTTTATATTTTTAGTAGAGACGGGGTTTCACCATGTTGGCCAGGATGGTCTCGATCTCTTGACTTCATGATTCACCCGCCTTGGCCTCCTAAACTGCTGGGATTACAGGCGTGAGCCACTGCGCCTGGCTGGATTTTTTTTCTTTTTTTTGAGACAGTCTTGCTCTGTTGTCCAGACTGTAGTGCAGTGACATGATCTCGGCTCACTCCAACCTCTGCCTCCCAGGTTCAAGCAGTTCTCTGCCTCAGCCTCCTGCATAGCTGGGATTACAGACGGCCGCTACCATGCCTGGCTCACTGTTATATTTTTAGTAGAGACGGGGTTTCACCATGTTGGCCAGGCTGGTCTCGAACTCCTGACCTTGTGATCCACCCACCTCGGCTTTCCAAAGTGCTGGGATTATAGGTGTGAGCCACTGCACCTGGCCAATAATCAGAGTTTATACAAAAAACAGTGCATTTCTACTTCCTGCAATAAACAGGAGAATGTCTATTTTTTTAAAGACACAAAACTCTGAGATTCTAAGAATATCTAGGAATAAACCTTATGAAAATAGTTTTATGTATAAAACTAAGCCAGTCACCATGGCTCATGCCTCTAATCCCAGCACTTTGGGAGGCCAAGACAGGAGAACTGCTTTAGCCCAGTAGTTCAAAACCAGCCTGGGCAACACAGTGAGACTCCATCTCTACAAAAAATTAAAAGAATAGCTGCACATGCTAGCTTTTGCCTGTAGTCCCAGCTACTCAAGAGGCTGAGGTGGAAGAATCACTTAAACCCAGGAGGTTGAAGCTGCGATAAGCTACAATCGCCACTGCACTCCAACCTGGGTAACAAAGATCCAGTGACCCTTTCTCAAAAAAAAAAAAAAAAAACCCTGGCCAGGCGCAGTGGCTCATGCCTGTAATCCAAACACTTTGGGAGGCCAAGGCAGGTGGATTGCCTGAGCTCAGGAGTTCGAGACTAGCCTGGGTAACACAGCAAAGCCCTGTCTCTACTAAAATACAAAAGAAATTAGCCGGGCATGGCGATGTGTGTTTCTAGCCCCATCTACTCCAGAGGCTGAGGTAGGTGAATTGAGGAGGTGGAGGTTGCAGTGAGCTGAGATCACGCCACTGCACTTCAGCCTGGGCGACAAAGCGAGACTCTGTCTCTAGAAAACAAACAAACCCCAAAATTGTATAAACTCACATGTAGAAAATGATAAACGATGCTGGAATTAACCAATTGTCCATAGGGGAAAGGGTATAATTGTATCACTCATTAAAATCACTACTACATGGATAAAAGCACTAATATGAAAAGCAGCATTTTAATGCCTAGCTAATTTTTTTTGTCTTTTTGTATTTATAGTAAAGACGGGGTTTCTCCATGTTGTCCAGGGTGGTCTCGAACTCCTGACCTCAAGGGATCTGCCCGCCTCAGCCCTCCAAAGTGCTGGGATTAAAGGCATGAGCCAACGTGCCTAGTGGGGAATGATTTCTTAAGAAACCTGCTAACCATTAAGGATAAGATTGATAATTTTTTTTCCATCAAAATTAAGAACTTCTATTCATCAAAAAACACTTCTTGAAAAATTATGAAAAGCTGGGCATGGTGGTGCGTGCTTGTAGTCTCAACTACTCAGGAGGCTGAGGCAAAAGGACTGCTAAGGCCTTGAACTTCTGTTCAAGGTTGCAGTGCACTATGATTGCACCTGTGAATAGCCACTGCACACTAGCCTGGGCAAGATGGTAAGACCGTCTCTTAAAAAAAAATAATAATCAGCCAGGTACAGTGGCTCATGCCTGTAATTCCAGCACTTTGGGAGGCTGAGGTGGGTGGATCACGAGGTCAGGTGATTGAGACCATCCTGGCCAACATGGTGAAAATACAAAAATTAGCTGGGTGTGGTGGCAGGCGCCTGTAGTCCCAGCTACTCAGGAGGCTGAGGCAGGAGAATCGTTTGAACCCAGGAGGCAGAGGTTGCAGTGGGCCGAGATCGCACCACTGCACTCTAGCCTGGCCACAGAGAGAGACTCCACCTCAAAAAAATAAAAAAATAATGAAGACCACTCACAGAGATAAAATAAATACTGGCAACATGTATACTCAAAAGGATTGGTATTCAGAATATATAAAGAACTCCTACAAATTATTAGTAACCTGGGAAATGCATATTAAGTCCACAATGAGATATTATTTTTTACCTACTAGATTCACAAAAATAACAAAATCTGATAACATCAAGTGTTAAAGAGGATCTCAGTCAATAGGCTCTCTTACTTAACGCACTGATGGTAGAGTGTTAAAGTGTACAATCACTTTGAAAATCAATTTGACTTTATCTCAGAAAAGTTGAACATTCACACGCCATATAATCCAGCAATGCTACTCCTAGGATTATTCCCTAGAGCAGCTGTTGTTTCTGTATACCAGGAGACAGACTCATGAATGTTCATAGCAGCACTATTTGCAATAATAAAAAACTAGAGGCTGGGCACAGTGGCTCACACCTGTAATCCCAGCACTTTGGGAGGCTGAGGTGGGCAGATCACCTGAGGTCCGGAGTTCGAGACCAGACTGGCTGACATGGTGAAACCCTGTCTCTACTAAAATATAAAATTAGTTGTGCATGGTGGCGCATGCCTGTCATCTCAGCTACTCAGGAGGCTGAAACAGGAGAATCGCTTGAACCCAGGAGGCAGAGGTTGCAATAAGCTGTGATCTCGCCACTGTACTCCAGCCTGGGTGACAGAGTGAGACTCTCTCTCAAAACTAAAACTAAAAAACCTAGAAGCCAGCCACAGTATGTCCAACAAAAATGCAAAAATGTCCAACATCAGGAGGAAACCAGAAACATAAATTGCAAATTCCCTACAAGGGATATTATACAGCAGAGAAAAATCAATGCACCACATCTACACATAACATGGAAGAATCTTAGAAACATAATGGTGATTAAAAACAGCAAGTCTCAGCCTGGCATGGTGGGTCACTCCTGTAATCCTAGCACTTTGGGAGGCCAAGGCGGGCAGATTGCCTGAGCTCAGGAGTTTGAGACCAGCCTGGGCAACACAGTGAAACCCCATCTCTACTAAAATACAAAAAATTAGCCAGGCATAGCGGCAGGCACCTGTAGGAGGAGGCTGAGGGAGAATTGCCTGAACCTGTGAGGTAGAGGTTGCAGTGAGCTGAGATGACACCACTGCACTCCAGCCTGGGTGACAGAGTGAGACTCCATCTCAAAAGCAAAAAAAACCCAGCAAGTCTCAGAAGACTATAAACATGCTATCATTTTTATGAAGCTCAAAACAACGAATTTAGTGATATAGTGTTTAGACACATACTTTTTTTTTCTTTTCTTTTCTTTTTTCTAGACACATACTTTTGTAAGATAACTTAAAAACTCAGGGGAACCATAAACATAAAATTTAAGACAGTGATTACCTCTGGGGTGAGGGAAGTGGCAGAATGGGAAAGTGGAGGAGGACACAAAGTATAGGCAATGTTCTAGTCCTTAGGTTTGCATGACGTACTATGGGTACTCATGGGTGTTAAATTTTTTTTTTTTTTTTTTTTTTGAGACAGTGTCACTCGGTCACCTAGGCTGGAGTATAGTGGCACAATCTCAGCTCACTGCAACCTCCCCCTCCCTGGTTCAAGTGATTCTCCTGCTTCAGCCTCCTGAGTAGCTGGGTTTACAGGCATGCGCCACCACACCTGGCTAATTTTTGCATTTTTAGTAGAGATGAAGTTTTGCCATGTTGGCCAGGCTGGTCTTGAACTCCTGACCTCAGGTGATCCACCTGCCTTGGCCTCCCAAAGTGCTAGGATTACAGGTGTGAGCCACTGTGCCCAGCCCAGGGGTGTTAAATTGTATAACATATGTGTTATATATATTTTTGATGTGTCAAATATTACATTAAATGATAAATAAAAAGGTATCCCCACAGATACACAGAGCTATTCACTGACACATAAGACACGTGAACATACAGTCTCATATGTGTACAAAGATTCATATGATTCCTTCAAAATGAAACAAATCTATACCCATCAATAGCCACATTCTCAAGACACACAGAGAAACACTGACATATTAACACACACACAAATTGACCCACACATTGATTCACATACATTCCTACCCAGCTCTTGACCCACAGGTGAGGGGACTCCCATGGAGGAGTACTGGACCACTGGGGTGCTGTGGGTGTTTATGGGCAACTGAACTGGTGGGTCTCCCAGAGAACACTCCCCAGTCCCAGGCTCCCCGTGCACGCACCTGATTCCCGAGATACCATTTTCCGTGGGACCAGCTTCTTGATCTATGCAGAAAAGAAGTAAAGGTTGAGCATCTCTAATCTAAAAATCAGAAATCCAAAATGCAGGCTGGGTGTGGTGGCTCACACCTATAATCCCAGCACTTTGGGAGGACGAGGAGAGTGGATCACTTGAGGTCAGGAGTTTGAGAGCAGCCTGGCCAACATGGCAAAAATCCCATCTCTACTAAAAATACAAAAATTAGCCAGACATGGTGGCATGCACCTGTAACCCAGGTACTCGGGAGGCTGAGGCAGGAGAGTTGCTTGAACCTGGGAGTCGGAGGTTGCAGTGAGCGGTGATCCTGCCATTGCACTCCAGCCTGGGTGATAGAGCGAGACTCCGTCTCAAGAAAACCCCCAAAATCCAGAATGCTCCAAACTCTGAAACTTTGTGAGTGCCAACATTATGACTCAAGTGGAAAATTCCACACCCAACCTAACTTACGTGTCAGGTCTCAATCAAAACTTTGTTTCATGCACAAAATTATTAAAAATACTATATAAAATTACCCTCAGGCTATGGTTTAAGGTGTATATGAAACATAAATGAATTTTGTGTTTAGGTTTGGGTCCCATTCCCAAGCTTTATTCTTTTTTTCTTTTTTTTTTGAGACGGAGTCTTGCCCTTGTCCCTGCCACCTGTACTTGGCTCTGTACTTACTGGGGGTGATGGGAGTACGAAGTTGTCTGGAAAAACTCCTCTTCGTCCTTGACATTCTCCTTCCCACCAGCCCTTATCCTCTGTGGTCTGGGAAAGAAACATGCCGGTAGAGAGGTAAGCCAGGTCCCCCAAGGTCCTTTCTGGGGTCCCACTCCTTCTTATAGATACAATTTCAACATTTATTTTAGACTCGGGGGTACATGTGCAGGTCCACCCATCCCAACACCCCCTTCCCTGGGCCCTCCCTACCCTGTTCTTCTCACACCTTGCTTAGTACTTTCACCACGTCGCCCCTCCGCAGCGCCAACTCGTCTGGGGCCTCAGGCTGGTAGTCAAACAGGACTCTGTAGGCCTCAGGGTGGGAGACTGGGAAGAGGTCAGTCCACTGTCCTCTGTAGCCAAGCCTCCTGCATCTGTCAGCAGCCCCCGCCTCCATCAGTCTAGCTGGCCCCCCAAGTCCCAACCTTGGGAGTGGCTGAGGGCTGGGGGACCCTTTGGCTGGGTGCTCACCTGTCTGCAGGTAGTCTGGAGGGCTGTCATAGGTCAGGCTGCTCAGCTAGTGGGGGAAGGGGCAGGGAGGAACCAGATGAGGCTTCAACCACCCCAAGAGAAACTCACCACCTCTATGCCCACTCTGAGACAACTTACCTTGGGAGGCCGCTGGGGATCAGGGCTGACTGAAGGCATGTCTGGGTTATCAAGGCCTGGTGGGGGACAGTGAGGTTAGGGAGGGTGCTAAGTCACAGGTTAGGTCATGAGAGAGGGTCAAAGGGGTTACAGGGTCAGGATATGTGGCTTATGCCACTGGAGGGTCATTGGAGAGTGCAGTCTGGTCCCAGGGAGTCACAGGGTCACACAGTCGAGGTCTCACTTGGGGGCCCAGTGTCCAGCAATTCCACAAAGTTGGATGGGAAGGCTCCCAGCTGCCCGTTCTTCTTCCCCAGCCACCAGCCGTCCTCAATCTGGGGAGAGGGGAGGACGCAGGGGCATCTGGTTCTGCCCCAAGCGTCTCTAGGATAATCTTCCACCCTTGGTTCTGCCCAAGGGCCCCCTCCTCTCTCACTCCCGTGCTTCTCCCTGTCTGCGCCATCACCATTCCCACCGTACACACCCTCACCTCCCACCCCACTCACTCGGGAGACGTGTTCCATCATCTTCCCCCAGATGGTCGTATCACCTCACCCCTCACCTCCTTTATCATTTCTACGATCTCCCCAGCTTGCAGCTTCAGCTCGTCCGCTTGCTCTGGGCTGTAGTTGAAGTTCACTTTGCACCATTTTTGGGGGCCCAGGTATTTGGCAGGATGACCTAGCACCGGACAAGAGCGGGGGAACTCGAGCCGGATGCCCCAGTACGCGGAGCTGGGGGAACCTCTGGGGGCGCGTAAGCAGCCTTTGGTACCTTCAGCCCCGCCGCAGGGCGGAGCATTGTACTCAAGAACCAATCAGACCGCAGAGCGGCCCCCGAGGCCCCGCCCAGATACGTCCCCGTCGCCAAGAGGTGGAGGCGCCGGGGTCGCGCGGATTTCGCACGCCCGCCCACCGACCCTGGCCCTGACCCTTGCGCTTACTTTGGCGGCGCGCGCAGCGCGGTTTCTGCGCCTCTCCGGAGCCCCGCAGGGTCTCTGGGATCTCCTGGGAATGAAGCACCCGGAGGGCGCTCTCAGCTCTCGGGGGGCGCGCGTTGAGACCCCTCGCCCGCCCCTGGCTCGGCCTCACCTGCACCAGGCGCTCGGGGAAAAGGCCCTGGCGCCCCCCCAGCTCTCGGTGAAACCAGCCCCGCGCGGGCCCCCAGCCCACCTGCCGGACCACGTCCCCGGGCGCCAGACTCAGCTCGTCCTCCTGTGCTCGGTATCCGGCCAGGACCAGGACCTCTGCGGGCGGAGGACAGGGCCGGCGCGCGGCTCAGAAACGCCGAGGCGTGGCAACCTGACCGGGGCCGGCGTGTCCCCAGGCACCGTAGAGGGCAGCGGGAGTTGGGGGGTGGTGTGGGCTCTTACAGTATCCATGGTTGCCACCTCAAACCCTCCGCACTTACCCATAGCTTCCGGGGCGCCCTCCACAGCCTGGCAGCTCCTGCTGGCGGCCGAGTACTGGGCTCACGCAGGGTGCGACGGGCAGCGAGACTGTTGGGCAAAGGAGGCGTAGCCGCCAGCCGATAGGTCGGGCCAGGTGCTGGGAGTGGGTGTGGAGAGGGGGCGGCCCGGCTCAGCAGGTTAGGCCCCCGACCCCGGGGTGAGGACTCCAGGGTCTCTGGCCTGTGCAGCAGTCACAGCTCCATTGTAGGCTCTTCCCGCCCACCTAAATTTTAGGCCAGCCGCCTCTTCCTTTCGCTCAGCTTTTGCCCGGAGGCTCCCAGCTACGATTTGCTGAACCTTCCCAGGCCTACCTTCTCCCAGCTCTCAAGCTTTTAGCTTCAGGGGAAAAGGTGGGGCGAGGCACATACCAGGGTGGGGCCCCCTAGCAGGTAGCAACCGCTCTAAACTGGCCCTGAGTGAACGAGATGGCTGCCCTTGTACAAGAAATGTTTGCTTTCCTACAAGACATCCTCCTCTCTGGCCCCATACCCACCCTCTACCCCCATATAGGAAGAAGACAGCAAAGACCCCTGCTTTGGGGCCACAGAGGTCTAGTTTGGTTTCAGAAAACACCTCCAGATTCTCCCTGGGAGTTAGGCAAGGAGAGTGAACTTTACGATCTTCCAACGTTTCTGCTCATAGTCGTTAGGACCCACCTAAGGCCAGTCCCATGTGGGATAGGCTCTTTAAGGTAGAACTGCTAACCACATCCCTTGCCCCTGTCCCACCACAGAGGAAGCCAAAGTCCTTGCCTATGACACCAGTGGAAAAAATTTCTCCTGGGGTGTCCAAGGTACACAATGAAGCAAAATGACTGGGGTGGGACTGAAGCTCCTCCCAGAAACGACTGTGTCGGTCTGGGATGCCTCAGGACAGGGCTGAGCAGCAGCCTGCACCCAGCCCCACAGGCCCTTCATCTTTCAGGTTTCCTGAAACTGCTGTGGGAGGTTATCCACCACCCCCAACACAGACACAGACACACACACTCTCTCTCTCCCTCAGGGTGACAATGAACAGAGCCCATTTACATCTGCCACTTCATTTATTTTATTTGCAGGAGGAGTTGAAACAAAAATTTTGAGGGAGATTTTCATTTTCCCCCTAAACATGAATCATTCAAGTAAAACCAACTTAACTATAGAAATGTAGCAAAGTAAGGGGAAAGCAGCACAACAACCCAAGAGGCCAAAGGCTGGGGGGAAGAGGTGGGTGCAGTCTGCATATAGCATATGCATAAACGCCTTCTGATTCACCTGCTCAGGACCGCCTCCCCAGAAGGCAAGCACAAGGGCCCATTTTAAGAGGATGTTTCCCCCCAAACATCTGAGAATGCTTCAACTTAAACAGCTTAAGGTTAAAAAGACAAAAAAGAAAAAAAAAAACTAACCAAAGAAACCCCCAAAAAAACCCCATGAACCACCCAGCCATAACCACCTTCCGTAATTGATCACAGGAGTTTCTTTTCATTTTATAAAAAGATTAATAAAAAATATTGAAAAAATTATTTTCTCATCTTATATTTGTAAAGATAATAGAATTCCTAAGTTTCTTAAAAAACAGACCAGACACTGCCCTCCAGTTTCCACCCCGGTGCTGGGAGGATCAGCAGGACTAGAAAGTTTGGGATACTGGAGCTGCTGGTGGAGAATGGAAGTCCAGCCCAGAAGGTATCAGGAAACAGGGCTCAGGGCACGTGAGGTGTGGTTAGGAGCAACTCCACGTGATACATGGCTGCGCAGAAAAGGGGAACACAAGGTGGTCGGAAAGGCCTTAAACTCCTCCTTGCCATACAAAACCGGTTTTTACAAAGATCCAGGCAGTTTGGTCCCAAACTGAGGTGAACACTTCAAAGTTTATTCACATGCTTTGTTTTCGCTTTTAAGAATCAAAGTTTCCCAAATTAAATGTTTCTAATATTACTACATATGCCTAAAAAAAAGAAAAAAAAAAAAAAAAAGCGGGGCTTTTAAAATCAGGACAGGGGAGAAGAGATTTAAAATTATCAAATTAGTCCTCTTAGCTCGAAATGAAATGAAATTAAGAACAAAACTGTTGGTTTCTAATAGGAAACAAAAATCCAAGCATTGCTCTCCCACCCTACCCCTGCCCCCACCCCACACACCAACAACAAATGAGAAAAACAGCTAAAGCCCAATGCGTTGTGTTCTGCTCAAGAGCTGGGCCTGACCCCCAGGCTCCATGGCCAGCCTCCTCTGTCCAGTGAGAGGCAGCGCCAGGGATGCCTTCTGTGGTGGTACAATCTGCATGGCTGGTGGGGGTGGGGGCAGGATTTTCGGAATCTGCTTGAGGTTCCTCTGTCTCGCTCCTCGCCAGCCGTCTTCCCAGCGCCTCTCTCCCCTGGGCAGGAATCCAGTCACGAGTGGCCCCTACTCGGTTGTGGGCTGTAAATTGTCCTTCTCTTCTCGGTTCTCTGTCCCACTCTCGTCGTCTTCAATCTCCCCTTCCTCTCCACTGAACTTGTCATGGGCCCACTTGGGGCTGGTACTTGATTTCCGGAACATGAACCGGCCCCGACCCCGAGGAAAGGCTCCTCGGCCCCTACCCCGGCTCACCCACTTCTCACTGCCTTCACCTTCACGGTCATCATGCTGAGGGGAAAGAAAATTGCTATCAGTGCCAGAGTGAACAAGATGTGGCCAGAGGTCTCTTCTCCGCACCCACTCAAATGGACCTTTTCTAAAAGAACCTGTGGCCTAACCCAGCCTTTTGCTCCTTTTCTGCATGTCTCGCCGTCCCCGACTCCAAAAATGCCTGTGGTTCAGATCCACGAGAATATCAGTTGGGTGATTTAGGAATTCTAAAGTACCAGCGTGGCCATTATAATGATGACAAGGATGATTCACTGAGCATGGCCCTCAATAGTTTAAGGAAAATAAAAAATTCACTAAGCAGTGAAGTGAGACATTTATACTATCTCATTGAATCCTCACATCTACCCTAACATTATCACCTCCCACTCTGCAAAGAAGGAAACAGCTCAGGAACCTTAAGCAACTCCGTATGATTTAGTATATCCTCTCTCAAAGGATGGGTTTGAGAGCCAGTCACGACAAAACATGAAACTCCACGTCAACTGGGTTGTTCAACAGCTAAGAAAGAGGCAACATGGCCAGGCGCGGCGGCTCACGCCTATAATCCTAGCACTTCGGGAGGCCGAGGCAGGCAGACTGCCTACGCTCAGGAGATTGAGACCAGCCTGGGCAACACGGTGAAACCCTGTCTCTACTAATACATATATATATACACACACACACACATATATATAAATTATCCAGGTGTGGTGACATGCACCTGTAGTCCCAGCTACTCAGGAGGCTGAGGCAGGAGAATTGCTTGAACCCAGGAGGCGGAGGTTGCAGTGAGCCGAGATTGCGCCACTGCACTCCAAATGCTCAGACTCCAATACTGGGGCTCTTCCTAACCCTCCACCTTCACATTCTCACTTTTTATCTCCCCTGTTTTATACAAAGAAGCAGTGTGACATTTCTTTTTTTTTTTTTCCACTTAGTTCAATGAAAGCATTAACCTACATTTTAAACAATCCTTGCTCTGACAATCTCATGAGACAGAAGGAGGAATTCGATCAATGAATAAGAAAGCATTTTGAAAACCAGCAGTCATTACCTCATCAGCCTCATGACTTCAGAGTCTAAACCATTCCCGACACAAGCTAGGGTCTTAGGCTTTTGGAGCTCAGCTCAGCAGATGTGTCACCTTCTTCTGACTATGGCTGCTTGTTCACACTAAAATGAATCAGGCTGGCAATGCTCTTTCAGGTGGCAGATGGGGCATGGGATAAGGCCTTTAATCCTTCCCCTACAGCAGTCCCACTCCAGCACCTAACCTTGGCCCAACCAACTACAATTCCCAGAGGTTAAGTTCAAAGGCCCTCTAGTAGCCTCAAAGCAGCTTCCAGCAGCAGCAAACCTAAAAAAGGGATGGTGGGCATGCACAGCCATCCATACACAACCTGTTTCCTAGCTGTCCAACTGACAATACAGACCCATTCCGGCCATTCTGGCAAGTGATGGAGATTCAGCTGCTCCTGTACCCTGGATATAACCCTCACAGCCACACCTACTTGGATCTTAGCCTGCTGTTACATACCAAGGCCAAGAGAGCTCACTCATGGCCAGCACTACAGCCTATGAAGTCCTAATCTGAGGGAGGCCCAGAGTGCATGCAAATGATCAACAGCCTAGATGAGAGACATCCCTTTCCTCAAAGAGATCCTGAGCTGTCGTCGTCATTCTTGCATGAAGGAGTGGCAGAGAGGGACAGCAGCAATAGCAAAGGGTTATGGCTCTATCCACAGGAATGGAGGAGGCAGAGGTTGGTGGTGGGTGAGCAGTAAAACAAGTTCACAAACTAAAAAGACAAGACCAATGCTTCTTGCTTATCTTGGAATCCATAAACATCTTCAGTAGATAAACAGACCGTAACTGCGTCTCTAGAGGACACCCATCTAGTTAGCACTATGCAAGTACACACGCCCCAGTGCACTACTCCTGCACATACATTTAATTGCAGTTTTGGACAAACCAATTAAGGCCTGATAGCAGCTACTGCGTGTGTGTCAAAGGCCCTCTGACCCTCCTTCCTGGTTATTCCAGACACATACCAAGTAATATTTCTTGCTTTTGGGTGTGTACTCTGGGTCCCACTCCTCTTCCCGATTTCTTTTTTGAAAATCGTTGTTGCTGTTGTTGTTATTGTTCCCAGAGTAGTTGCCTCTGCCCCAGCCTCTTCCTCTGGCTCGAAATTGCTATTGCAATAAATGAGGGGAAAAAGGAACAAAGGATCATGCCAGGAATGGAAACAAACCTCCCTGCTTTCTGTTCAGATACTTTTCTGGCATGGAATAGGCAGCTATCTTCCAGACATATACTGGGCAGCTGATTTCCAGCCATTTCCTTTCTCATCTCAAGTCTGTAGCCTATACAGAGGATAAACCTGCCCCAAGGGCCTCCCTACAAACAGCAGGAGTCAAGGTAAGTGGGGAAGTTCTGAAGCTGTGAGGCTGTCTAGCTAAGTGATTACGAACAGAAAAGTAATTAAAAATGGAAAGGCCAGGAAATGTGGGAAGGAGAATCAAAGATTCCAGGGTCTTTGGGTTGGATTACTTATGTCAGAGGCAGCAAAATTGGTATTCTGATGAAACATAGTCAGAACTGACAGAAGCAAAGGGCTTAAAGAAAAGGGGAGAGGGGAGGGTCTTACAAAGGTTCCTCGAGCTCTGCCACCTCCTCTTTCACTTGGACCCACAAAGTCTTTGGTCCCCAGTCTTGATTTGTCAAAGCCTGTGGTGCTCTCCTCTCTTTCCTCTGTCTCTTCAGTGTACTCTTCTGCTTTGTAGGAGTGAGATGACTGGGAGGAAGAGGAGGAGGATCTTGACCTGTCTCTCGCTCTCCGGTGCTTCCTGTGCAAAGAGAACAGATAGGGTAATCAATCATCTTCTAGGGGACACTCTTTGGCTGGGGCCTCATGGATACGCACAACAATCAGAAATGTGCTGGTGATAAAGAAACTGACGATGAGTAACCTTATAAAACCAGCTCACCCCCAACCTACCCACCCAAGATACTTCCTCTCAATTCTGTCAGTCATGTTCAGTGACACAACTATGTCTGAGACTGTGATAAACATGTGACATACACAGGAGCAGGAACAAACCACAATCCATGACCTCCAGTAGCTCAGTCTAAGATACAGGCATGAATTAGTAAGGGAGAAGGAAACTAACACTATATTGAGAGCTCCGATGTATCTTGTACTGGGCCAGAGGCTTTGTATATTAACATCTGTTAGTGCTCTATTACTTTTATTTCTTATAGGAATGCTACCTGGCTTA